ATACCAGGAGGGTGGAGGGAGGATGGGGTGGAAAGGGGGAACTGATTACAAGGATCTACATATAAACTCCGCCCTAGGGGACAGACAACAGAAAAGTGGGTGAAGGGAGACGGCTGACAGTGTAAGATATGACAAAATAATAATAATTTATAAATTATCAAGGGTTCATGAGGGAGGGGGGAGCAGGAAGGGAGGGGGGAAATGAGGAGCTGGTACCAAGGGCTCAAGCAGAAAGCAAATGTTTTGAAAACGATGATGGCAACCAATGTACCAATGTGCTTGACACCATGGATGGATGGATGATTGTGATAAGAGTTGTAGGAGCCCCCAAGAAAATGATTATAAAAAAAAAAGAGTTGCAGCCTCAGAAACCCACAGGGGCAGATCTGCCCTGTCCTATAGGGTTGCTGTGGTCAGAATTGGCTCGATGGCATGGAATGTTAGTCAGTGCTGCCTTTTCTGAAACCGGCTTTAACCCAATCCAATGTAGTGTCTGTCACACAGGGGATCTTTGCAGCTTTGCAGCAACATGTAGCTTTGAAGATGACACCTACAAACTTAGCTCTCTTGCAAAAGTAAGGCCTCTTCCATGCCCACCAAAATGCCCACTCTCCAGGAAAGTTCTACTAAATCCCACGGAGCATTCCGCGCGCCGTTTGAGCAAACGCAGGGTCCAAGACCAGACTCTGGATCTCACATCCCAAGAAACAAAATGTTTTTGGATACCCACCTTGTGCCCAGCTCTGTTCTGAATGCTATCACTCATTTAACTTTCACAAATCTTAACCTCACATCTGTAAGGTAGGAATATTATTATCATCCCATTTATAGGTAAAGAAACTGAAATAGGTAATTCCCCTGACTGATGGGTTGGGTTTCGTATCCACATCTCAAAGTTGGGTTTCGTATCCACATCTCCTGGCCCAAAACCTACTCATTACTCCAGAGCTGCATTGTGACCCAGAAGGCAGGCCAGTCATTCTGAGTTCATGCATGGTTCCCAACCCAAAGGAACCTTAAGGAGAAAGAGGAATGTACAGACACCTGATATCCAGCCTTCCTGTTTCTTTTTTTAAACATTTTATTAGGGGCTCATA